CAGCACTTGGAAGGCTGGGGCAAGAGGATCTTGAGTTTGAAGCCAGTGTGTGCTACATAGCAAAACCTTATTTCAGAAAACAAACACAGGGCTGGGAGATGGCTCAGCAGTTAAGAGGACACTCTGCTCTTGCAGACGGCATAGTTTTATTTCCAGCATCTGGGGGTGGGGGTGGAGCTCACATCTGCTTCTAACTCCAGGTGTGTGTGTGGGGGGGGGTGGAGCTCACAGCTGCTTCTAGCTCCAGGTGTGTGTGTGTGTGACTGTATGTGAGGGGGTGGGGTGGAGCTCACAGCTGCTTCTAACTCCAGGTGTGTGTGGGGGGGGGGGTTGGAGCTCACAGCTGCTTCTAACTCCAGGTGTGTGTGTGTGACTGTATGTGAGGGGGTGGGGGTGGAGCTCACAGCTGCTTCTAACTCCAGGTGTGTGTGTGTGTGTGTGAGGGGGGGGGTGGAGCTCACAGCTGCTTCTAACTCCATGTGTGTGTGTGATTGTGTTCATGAGGGGGTGGGGGTGGAAATCATAGCTATTTCTAACTATAGGTGTTTGGTGAGTATGTGTGTGTGGGGTGTTCACAGCTACTTCTGACTCCAGGTGTGGGTGTGTATGGTTGTGTATGCATGTGATTGTGTGTGTGAGGGCATTCACAACTGCTTCTAACACCAGCTTCAGGGACGTCTGGGGCCTCTAGACTCTGCAGACACCTGCCCTCACCATGAGAATGTGCCTTGAGTGTTCATGTGTACAGATACATTAAAAACCCAAACAAATCTTTTTAAAGCACAAGTCTATGTAGAAATCTTACAGTTTTAGTGAAGATTTTTTTACTTTGGTTTCTATTATAGCAAAATGAGAAGCTTTCTTAGAGCATCACATCAGAAATTTACCTTTGGCCCGGCAGTCACATTTATTATTACACATTTGCAGTGAAATACAACTAACTCACTTACGTTTCCCCGTAGTAGCACAAGTGTCTGGCACATTAGCCCGAATTCAACTGTTGGGAAGAAGACACATGGAGTGAGTTAGCCCATCATCCAGAATCTCGATGACATTCCTTCATTTCAGAACTCTCACTCCAGACCAAAGTCAGACATTCACACTGTCCTCTGGGCCAGTGGAGGCACCAGTAGGGTGGTCTACCCCGGCAGTTGGTTAGATGTCCATTGTTTGTCGAGAACGTACGAACAATAATAAAACTGGCTGCAAGCCTGTCTGCTCTGTGCTATTACCAAGACCTGCTGCTTTGGGATAATTTCATGTCCACATCCTCTTCTGCAGGGGCAGTTGGCTCCCTCTGTCTGCACCCCCACCATTAACTCATTATCTGGTACCCCAAATTGAGCAGATAGAGAATAAGGCACAGGAAGCAATATATGAGATTCTAAGGAGTCTTAAAATGAATCTATGCGTAAGATTATAGAGCTGCATGGAGTCTACCTGACGTTGCCCACGAGATGCCAGGGGACAGTGAGAGGGAGCATTTTTGGACAGTGTTTACCAGACAGTGGTGAAGACAGTGATGGGAGACCCAACCCTGCCGTGCCCTCTTCAAAATTTCACCCTTGTTGGGGAAATGGAAGTCAAGTTAAGAGACTTGGTTGGAGAGGTGAAAGAAGGCATTCACCAGGAAGTTAAATAAAAGCTCTCCGATTTTAAAAACCAAGAGGCAAACATAGACAAACATGAAATTTTGCTGACATGGCAGCTAGTCCCCTGACCTCTCAACCCTCACCCTTTAGGGTAAGACCTATCTCAGGGGCCACATCTACCAAGCATTGCATAGTGGCTCAGTGTCGTTTCGATGCCTAGAGATGCCCTCCTTAGCCCAGCAGTTCTTGGCTCTATTTTTACATTGCTGACATCTGAGAGCTTCTTATTATTTGGTTTTGTTTTTATGAATTCACACACACACACACACACACACACACACACACACTACACTCTGAACCCTACACTGGACCAATTAAATTAGATTTGTGGAAAGTAGAAGATAAGAAATAGGAACCAATATGTTAGCAAACAAACAGGAAGCGACCCAGTCAAGAACTGGTTCTAATATAACACAGCGTAGAGGGTTACTGACTAGTTGAAAGTACTTAATTCCACTTAGGAATAATTTAAAATTTCATTTTAAGACTTCCTAATGCAAGGGGGTCACTGGGGAGAGGCGTGTGTCAGTGCACGCATGCTAACGGATGTAATCAGTTCTAGATTTCTTGGACTTGGCATGATCTCCATCCTATGCCATAGGTGGAGACCCAGGAAATGGTGAAACAGCGGGATCTTTTCTTTTCTTTTTCATATCACTTATTTATTTGCATGTGTGCACACACATGTGCCGGTGCCTTGCCATAGTACATGTGAGGTCAGAGGACAACCTGGGAGTCAGTTCTCTCCTTCCGCCATGTGGGTGCCGGGGATGGAATCAGGTCTCCAGGCTTAGCCATAAGGGCCTTGTCTACTGATCCATCTCCTGGTCCTGGAGGATAGGATTTTTTGGGCTCTGGAGTCAGCCTGAGTGTCTGAGAGAGCTATGGGGGTGAACACAATGGATCAACGGAAAGACAAGTTTCTGGCTTCTCTTTATTTCCCAGTGTCCCCAGTTTTCTCTATTCTCTTCTGTTGCTACTTAACAAAACCCCCTGATGATAAGGCTTGATATGAAACTATAAAGCACACTCAAATCTTAGATAACAAGGACACTTTTGTCCCCTAAACACATAAAAAGTATTGTGAGCACCTTGCATGTAAGTGGAATGAATGTATTTTTGCCACTTATGTTGAAAATATCCCTAGGCATCTGGTGTGTATGAATGTGTATACATAGTACATGCATAATAAACATATTCCACCTTATGAATATTTATACACAAGATACATATATATTGAATATAGACATACATATGTAAATAGTAGCCCTTGTAAACGATATGCAAATTGTGCTTCTGAGCATATGTATCACAGTGCGTCAGGAATATAATAAATCCACCACCAAGCAAGACATATTTTGAGGTGGTATTTTCTTGAGCTGTTTATGATAGGGTCTAGTTACTATCCAGGTATCCAGGTAGGTGTTATTTTTCATCCGTGAGAAGTAAGTCACTGGACATGGCAGCGTTACTTGAAACAATTGCGGTTCCTTTCCTTCAGAGGTCTGTTCTCCACACAGTAGCTTATAATTTCGCTAGAAAGAAGCTAATAGTGCTGCCACCCATTGGCGTCCCAACCCCTTCCAGCTGCCCTTGGTCTGTGTACTCACCGCTGCCCCATCTGCTGGGGTTTAAACCGGACCCCCTTTGAGTTCCATCAGCCTGCACTGTGATGTCGTTCCGATAGAGTGGGGAGGAGCGTCATTGGTCTCAGCAGACTGTGTAGCCACAGGACACAATGCTCACTTCTTTCTCCATCACAGACGGTCTATCCTAGGACACATCTTCATTTAGCTCTGGTTTTCTGGGGGATAACGGCATAATGAAAGACATCGGATTGCAGCGAGGGTCATCCAAGCTATCTCAAAACTGAAACCCACACAGAGCAATCTCTTTCCACACAGGCTTGCTATAAGCCAACCAACCATTCCTGGCCCTGTCATTCCATTTCCCAGCTCCTTCTAGAACCCTCACGAAGAGTAGCAGAAGCGTTTATTAAATACAAGCTATACAATTCTTAAAAGTGCCGAGTATGGATTCCTTTTTAAGTGACAGTCTACAGAACAGCTGGGAGCTCCAAGTGAGATTTGTCAGGTCCGGTTTTGCCCTGTCAGAGCAATCCTATGCAGGCCTTGTCATTGCTGAGTCACTGATTCTGTTCGCCTCCCACCCCCACCCCCACTCCCCATATATCACAACAGGTAGTTCTCAGCTGTTCCCTTGGTGCCAGACATACACTTTATCTAAAGAGACAGCAGACAGAACTACCTGCTGCTTCCTGCGCGGCTCTCCCTGTGTTTCTCTCCTTTCTCCTACCTCTCACTGGGGCCTTTAAAACTCAGCTGGCAAGGAGCCAGGAGCTCATCATTTTAATGCAGTGCAAAATGGAATATGCATAATTATATGCAAGCCATATGTGAGGGAGGCAAGCTCAGCTGTGGATTTTAGGGGGCCAGGAGAGAGAGAGAGAGAGAGAGAGAGAGAGAGAGAGAGAGCGCAGTTAAGGCTAAGAGGAGATGCAAGCTGCAGAGCGCCAGTGTCAGCCAATGAATGGATTAATGAGTGTGCTTCGGACACGCCCCTTTCACCCACCTCTCCCTCATGCCAGCTCGAAATCAGAAACCAATGGCGATTAGGAAGAGAGAATGCGGACCACAATTGGTGTTACTGATGAATAATAATGTGAATGCCTCTATTGAAATGGCAACTTTTTTTAATTGACAGCGTAGATCAAAATAACCAGGAACTTTTAACACAGCTTCTGAATTAGATCTATTTTTTTTTTACTGCATTTGATTGAAGAATCATTGTTCTTATGAGACCATCAATCCTTTAGGATCTTTATTTAAAAATCGAGGGGAACCAATTTATTTCTAATAGTATTACAGTTCAAAATATAACTATGCAAATTGCTTTTCTTTATGGCTTTGCTATTAGAGTTTCTTAAAAGTGCATTATCTAGAGATTGCTTAAGCATGCCAAAAAGTTTAAACACGTGTGTATGTCGTATAATCCTGATTGTGCAGCGAGCCGTGCCGCCGCTGTGTCCCTGACAGACACGCGAGGAGTGGAGATCTCCAACAAAGCTCGCTGATTTGGGTTTGCTGTGTATCATTAGAACTGTTACACCACGACGGATTTGCATGTTCAAACTAAATGATATGTAAAGAAAAACAAAACTCAAATTTTGATATCTAAAAGGCATACTGCGTATTTAAACAAACTTCTTAATGATGTTGTTATTTCTGGATTCCCGTTTGTTTAATGATCTGAGCTGTTATGCTTTTAGCTTTTTTTTTTCTTCCATTATTTGTAAGTCCCTAAATAGGCCATTATATTTCCCTTCAGGCTAGAGATGAAGATGGACGTGTTGAAACTTTCCCCCAGCAGCACTATGCTAAGGAAACTCCAAGGCTTGCCTTCAAGAATAACTGCGAACTACTTGTAAGAATAACATACTTACAACAAGTCTAGAATGTTACTTTAGCACAGTGAAACAGTTTTTTGCGAGGGTTTGTTCATGATTACATAATTTACGAAATATTATATTTTTCTGTGTAGAGTTCTAAGTGCTAATTCTGATATCACTGCATATTAATTATAAGATCTCAAGTTGTTGCAAATCTTTTATATCTGATTGTAGAGCTTGGATGGCCCTGTCTTTATTAGCTTGGTTTGCATTGTAGATTATAAGCAGTCAGTTGGAGAATGGCTAGTAAAGTTAAAAATATAACTTGGATACATGGAGCTTGGAGAAAACCCCACCCCACCCCTCCCTCCCTCCTACGCCCTAAATGTGCGCTATTGTAGCAGACAGTGGTTGCTGGGTTTGCTTCTGATAGGAAAGATAGTCCATTCGACACACAGCACTCCCTGTAGGATTCAAGTCTTCCTCCACTCTCTTGCCAAACTCCACAGTCTCTCCCCTGCAGAAGGAGTCAATAGTCACCGGGTGGGGGATGTTTACTGTCGAGAGAGAGGGGACATCAGCTGTGATGAAACTCGGTTCCAACGCAAGGTTAATTTGCTGTTCATTTTAGCATTTACAGTGAGACAAGATGAAAAGCAAGCAGGAATGCCTATTATATTTCTATTAAATGAATCTGTTGGGACCTAACATTCTTGATTAGCTTTCGCAAACGAGTGCTCGGCAATGCATTTTGTGTTTACCTAAAGTAAACAGAAAATGAATTGTCATTTATTAGAGCATCAGACCCTGCTTTGGAAAATGGAGCTTTATGAAGGCTCTAGCATATTGCCCCTAAATGTTCTTTTCTTTTCAATCGCATTAAAGCCAAAAACATTTGCTCCAACTAAATGGAAACAGGGAAAGAAGATGAAGATGCTCGGCTGTTACATTTTGAGGTAGTTTAATTCCTATTTGGATTTTTGGCCAAATAGAGTAGAGCTTTGCCAGGGCTCTGCGTTAGGAATTCCCACGTGTAACAGCCTTTGGATTTGGCTCTGACACCAACTGTTCATTAGAAACCAAGTGGCCAGAGAGCAGGAGAAGACTGAAACATACAGGCCATCCCCACTGCGGTGGCAGCGGCTGTATGTTGACAGCGAGGACCTCCTCCATGCAACACAGCAGGCAGTCGCAATAGCACCAGCCTGTGTGTGCAGTGCCCTGGACCAACCAACCTGCAGGCAGACTCGCTGCTTCTAAATGCAACATGAACATTTAACTCACCTGATATTTTATTTGAGGGCTCTTAAATGCTCAGGTCTGCTATAGCATTACCTATTCTGCAGGAAGCCCTTTCCACTTGGTTCTTTAATGCTGTCTTGGTAACTGGTTACCCCATGCCTGGGGGGAGGAGGGAGAGCTTTTATGATGTTTTGGTATCAGAATGCTTTCAGGGGTGGTTTACTTCTTTTGACAAAGACTGTGAAGACCTATATACCACACTTAATTCCCCCTATATTGGAAAGGTAAATGTACTTAAGTATATACTGGAGGATTTTTTTTTTTTTTTTATAATGTGAACATCGTCTCCAGATACCTTTAGAGAAAATAGATGCTTTGTGATTGCCTGGCTTACAGCAGTACTGTGTTGGCAGGAGTTTGAGAGGTTTGGGACAATCTTCATTGCAGTGTGGTTGCCATTAGAAAGGCTTTGTTTTGTTCAGTAGACTTCCCTGAGATTAAAAAAGAATAAGAAAGAAAAAAACAAATAAGCTTATTTCTCTAAGGAAAAATTTAAAAATACACACACACACACACACACACACACACACACACACACACACATATTACCAGCTGCAAGAAAAGTAATGTGTTAGGCTATTGTGAACTGAGAAGTTAACGTTTCTTTGCAAAAGAACTGCTCATTCTTCGGAGAGAAATGGGAGTTCCTTGGAGGTTTCTTACTACAGTTTGGAGCAGATTTGTAAGGAATCTGGCAGTTAGGATTGCAAATTCTACTCCAAAGTGCCTTTTTAGCTTAAGGGTGGCTCTGGCATCTTCTTTCATGGCTAGCTGCAGCCCCAGCAGCAGCCGGCTTGGAGAGTAAGCAAAGTACCTAGGGCACAGAAGTCTTTGGAGTTCCCAGGTGACCAGAAGCTCACAGCTGGAAGGCTTATCCTCTGGGCCACAGGAACTGACAGAAAAGGGCCAAGACCAGGAAGACAGGACATTGGCTCTGTGTTATTGATGGCAAGATGTCTCTGTACCCCTCCTCTAGCCCACACTTCTTGGAAGAGGCAGGAATATTGAATAACTTACAAAAAAGCAAAGTAAAATCAATGCCTGGAATATACAAGTGTGTGTAATCAGAAGGCACCAACAAGGACAGCACTGGCTGTAGTAGAGGCTGCCGTGCAAATGGAGCGTTCCTGTAAGGTATTGATTTTTCCATTTAGATCCCAAATGGTGATGTGTGCCTTCATGCTAATGTACTGTTCACACGACTAGATATTTAGCTTGGTGGCCAAGATTCTTTCTTTGGTGGTAACATAGTGGTTTTCTCATGGCTTTTAGGTTAATTTAGAAAATGTAAGGCTATAAAGACCAATAATTAGATAAATAAGTCCTTTGTGATGGGCCACAGTTCAGTGTGGCCACCTAGCTCTTCATAGCCGTGTGTGTGTGTGTGTGTGTGTGTGTGTGTGTGTGTGTGTGTAAGAAATGGCTTTGCTACATAGTCAATATGACCAAAGAAGACAAGTTTCAGTAAAAGAAAGTGTAGGTGATTTGTGTCATCTCAATGCTAACAGCAACATAGCATTCAAGAACCAAGAAAGGAGAATGGTTAGAGCTGGCCAAGGCTTGTACCAAATTCCAACTCCATTGTCAGTCCCTTTATGGTCATTAAGTTTCTCCCCGGAGAAATAAGCTGGGGGCTGCAAGGTTTCTCACCTCCCTAATGAAATGCTCATTCAGACACTGGACTGTAGGAGCTATGGTAGAAAATCCTTAAGGAATTTTGACTTCATATTTTCTCATTAGCCAGTTTTTCTGTTCACAAGAACAGACTGGGCATAAAATTGTGCCCAGGAAGGGAAGACCTGCAACAAAAGGAAGTTGTTGAAAGGTTTCGAGAAAAAAAATTGAGGATGACATCCCAATTTGTGTGCATGTGTGTGTGTGTGTGTGTCCATCTTTTCATATGTGTATATCTATCTTGGTGTGTGTATCCATCTTGGTGTGTGTGTGTGAGTATGTGTCCATCTTGGGGTGTGTGTGTGTTTGTATCCATCTAGGGTGTGTGTGTATGTATCCATCTTGGGGTGTGTGTGTGTGTGTGTGTGTGTGTGTATGTGTCCATCTTGGGGTGTGTGTTTGTTTGTATCTATCTTGGGGTGTGTGTGTAACCATCTTGGGGGGTGTGTGTGTATCTATCTCGGGGTGTATGTGTAGGTGTGTGTATCCATCTTGGTATGTGTGTGTGTGCCTGTTTAGGCCAGGCTGTTGGCCAGTGAGTCTCCGGGATTCCCTGTCTCTCCAAAGCTGGAATTACAGGCAACTGTAGGAAGCCCTGAGAAGGACACAAGAGAAGGAAGTTCAGGGGAGAATAAGCTCGTCCAATTTGACTTCAGCTTCTGGAATCATCACCCAGAGCTTGAATCTCTATGGCTACCTCCGGCTGGAAGGGTGAGGACTGTGAAGAAGGAGAGGGAGGGAACCCACAGCTGGGAGGCAAAATAAAAATAGCACGGGAAGGAGTTCTTTCTGGTCACTTAGAATGCCAGTGAAGGGAAATGAAAACGATTTTGGTGTTGTGGCCTCACGAGCAGACATGATGCAGAGGAGAGTGCTTAGTTGATTGCTCCACCTCGGTTCCTTCTGGAGGCAGGCAGGTGGATATGTCATCCTCCAGCTTCAGAAATGCCCGTATCAGTGCAGCGTTCAGCTCACAAGTGTCTCTCATGCATTCATACATTGTCCACTGTTCCATGCAGAGAGAGACATGGAGAAGACAAAGATACTGTCCCTGCCTAGTGAGTGCACACAGTTCAACAGAACCAGGTATACCCAGCATGGTAGCCAGTAAGTGTATGGGTTCTCCGATAAGATAGTCAAGTTTGCCCCACAGATCCAAAGGCATAAGATACATATGTCGTCACAGTGGACACAGGTTTTTATCTCTTGGGCCTCTCTGAGTTTACCATCTTCATCTGTAAAGTACCTCAGGGGATAGTGTAAAGACGACACAATGGTGTATTTAAGGTACCTGTTGTCAGTACAGGTTAGCTATGCAATTGTGATCCTTGGTCATTGTGGTGGTTGCCATTGCATGGTAAGCCATGCCCTGGGAAAGTACTAGGAAGGTTCCGGTGTGTGAAAGAGGGTGAAATTCTTGTCTCATGCAGCCAGTGCACTGAATGGAATATGCTTTTGCTCTGGGCCTTGCTATAGGTGGAGGTCGATTATAGGAATTGGTGTGGAAGGGAGGGGGTATAGCGAGCAGCAGGAAGGCAGGATGGTAGGGAAGTAGCAGAGAACCTGAAGACTAAGGAGAAGGCAGGTGGGCAGGTCTGTGAGGAGTTCTCATCCCTGACCCATTCTGTGGATTCCTAGTGTTTCTGCAGATTAAAAATTACTATGGACAGTTTTTCCTATTCAGAAGTATATGAACTATCATGTGCCCCATGCACTCTTCCCAAGTTCAAACAGTCATCAGTTAGAGGTTATTCTTGCTCACTTGTCCCTTTTCTCTTGATATCCCATTATTATTATTATTATTATTTATTTATTTGAAATAGAATTACATTGCTTCCCTCCTCCCACTCCTCCCTCTAGCCCTTCCCAAGTATCCCCTCCAACCTCTCACATGGTTCCCCTCAAGTTGAGTCTCTTTTTCATTGATTATTATTGTTATAAACACACAGCATAAAACATACACACATACACACACACGCGTGCACGCACAAAACCTGCTGTGTCTATGTTTGTTGTTTGTGTGTGTATGGTTTCAGGGCTGACTACTGTCACTCTGCAT